GAGGCCCCCTCTTTGTGGTCCCACTGTTTCCCTGTACTGACCCGAGGCCTCCTCTTTGTGGTCCCACTGTTTCCCTGTACTGACCCGAGGCCTCCTCTTTGTGGTCCCACTGTTTCCCTGTACTGACGTAGCATTTCTGTATAGTATGGTGAATGTTCTCCTTTGTTTAACTCAATGAAAAATGCCTCATTGTAATTTGTAACTTTAAATTGCTTTGCAAAAGCCTTTTAGCACCATGAATGAATGGACAGTTGAATGATTGCTAATCCTGTATGTGACACAATGCCAAGGGTCCTGGTTCCCTGGCCGGAGTACGCTTTGTGGAAATGACTCACTTCTGGTGGATGTATTGCCAGGCTTTCAGATCCACCATCCCAGAGCAAAGCTGGCTCAGGGTCACCAAAGAGTAGACTCAGCTCTGGAAGAAAGCCATGATGCCATACAGATTGCCCATGTGACGAAAAACGGTTTAAAAGAAAGCCGTGACCAGGAAGGCTCCAGGCTTGTGAAGCGGCTCTACGTCTCGCTCCTTGACAAAGAACAGCACGTTGAGATTTTCTGTGACAATACAGAGTAAAAAGTGTGAAGGACTCTTGAAACATGGGTATGATTTCTACTCGGGGGATGCTAAGTCACAGCACTGCATTATAAAACACGAATCCGGAATCTGGTCTCTCGTTACAAGTTCCTGGACTTTTGTAGTTCCTGGCTACTTTTGTGTGTTGATTTCACACCCCACAACAGGAACTGGCATCTTTATCTGAAATAAGCATGGGAGATGCGAAAAGCTCGTCGTTAAACTAAATACATTATATGAAGCTACTCTGTCACCCCGAAACAATGGTGGATGAACAACTTGTTCTGTTAGTTATTGAGGGGGAGCGATTGTGATCAAAACAGGACTCAGCCTTATTTATGTGAACCACAACATGTTTGTGTTTTATTAGATCTGGCTGGCAGATCAATCTTTCACTTTCTACAAAATAAAATATGATGTTATTTGCTAATAAGTGCTGGCAAGTTTCACCACCGGCACCGCCGATATTAGAGAAAAAGTATATTGGTTATCGATCAAATTTTCAGATGCAGAAATAAGGAGGCGCAAAAAATGTATTCATTCATACATTAAATGTAATTGAGGTACAGAAATAATTCCATCTGCTGCTCCGTTAATTTGATCTCTTTTCGCTGCACTTCTGTGTAACTTTTAAATTTGCACCGGTGAATGTGGCCAGCCAATCAGCAGGATATCGCTGTATGCACCTCGCCGGTAGTTCATGTTTCTAAGAGAAGTACCTAGTCTGGAATAGGGACTAAAAAAAGGGTTCCGGAACTGTCTCCAAGGAACTTACAATCAGACCGAGTCCCAGCGTTGTGAACACCACAAAAATCCCTGGTTCTGGAAAAAGGTTCTGGTTCCTGAAAAAGGTTCCTGCAGTGTGAAAGCACTCACAAAAGGCTCTTAGCAAGGCATTCTTCACCTGCAGTGGTAAACTACTTCCTATCTGCCTGATTGCTAGAATCCTTGCAGTAACATATTGGAGACCCTGACTTCACCTTTGCTCATTTTTGTAGCTAACTGGGTGTTTTCAGTCGGGTTGTATAGGTTGACCAAGTATCAATCCTATCCCTGTCCAGTAGGCTTCTATTGAATCTGTACCTGAATTATCCCAGCTTATTACACTGTGCACTTGGTGTGTGTTGGGTTCTCCTCTGAGGGGCAGAGGGTGTACATCAGCCTGGGTGTGCCAGCTGCCTCTGTACAGTGTTTCTCACAGGGCTGTGCCCACACACCGCTTGCTCACATCTTTGAGGGAAATTGGAGAGGAAGAGGCTAATTGACTAATGGAAGGAGTGCAGATTTCAGTTGCCTGATTCAGGTTGACCCAAGGCTTTCTCAGTCTGCTGTTTTCCTCTGAACTCACTTGGTGCTGCTTTTGACAGCCCATTGTTTAAAACCAGCCACACATATTTGTGTCTTGAAGGATTTATCTGCTTTAGATGTCTTTCATGTATTTCCAGCAATAAAATGCTTTGTATGTTCCAGTTAACCTTACATAGATTGCTTCTTTTTAAATCAATTCCTTTTTTCAACCGAGGCCGCTGATGTTTCATGATACCATTTAACATTGTTCCCCAAATAAATAACTACCTGCTTTACAGAAAACTGTCAGGTAATTAGTCTTTAACACTGTGTTGCTAACAGTACATTATTGACTAAAATCTAATTATGTCGTGTTACAGTGAGTACCCTTAATGCCAGCTATTTAATTTGTTCTTCCTTTTTGTTTATAAAATCTTTATTATTGATGAGTCTAATTTACGACACTGCTAAACAGGCTCATTATTTATTTTTTAATAAAGGACTACCAGACACAGTTTAAATCATACAAGGAGTGATTCAGGCATGTAATAAATCTCAGAGAATGATGGTCATCTGCCTGTGGGGAACTATTAACGGAATATTTTCTAGGTTTGTTGGCTCTATCAGCCTTTATTTTAAGGGTGGAGTTAGAAGCCTTTTGTGAGTGAGACCTCACTGAAGCGGAAGCAGGAAATTGTGCTGTACAATACAGAATATGATGAACAAGAAGATACATGTGATAAACTTAGAGGTTAAGAAGCGTTTAAAATACATGTGCTTATTATACAAGGGCCCCATATATAACTATATGGGGCCCTTAAGCAAGGCCGTTAAGCTGCATTTGCTTGGGTCTGGGTATGATTTTACTCTACATCCAGCCCTACAGGGAGGTCCTCCAACTTTCAGGGAAAATTTGGGGGTTGGTGGCAGGATTGGCCCTCCAGCGAGCGGAAAGAAAATCATACCATTCCATTCCACTCAAACTAATGTGGTGCTGAGGTATCACCCACTGCACGGCTCCACTCAGGTATTTATCTCTGAGGTGGTTCGTCGTCAAGCCATCAAACCTGAATGAACACTTTAAAGAGGTCTAGCTATATGAATAGTGGCTAATTATTATTCATTTAAAGTTTTATTTGAAGGTCTGATGTTTATGCTCACGGATCAGTCATTCAGTAAATGACAACTTGTCAAGTGCGTAATCTGTAAGAAGTTCTCCAGTGGCCCATGTTTGAAGCCAAAGCTAGGTGTGATGTGTTCCACCGCCTGACACAAACATCACTGTGATCGCTCAGGTTGATGTGAACGTGTTTGTAAATAAAATACCGACAGATTTTGCTGCTATTCCGTGGAAGGAGTGGAAACATTCAATGACTACCTTATTCCTCTATGAGGGAGGTGTTGAGGGGACCCATGGAAAGCTGATTTGGCTCCTGTTAGCCAGATGAATCCTCTGGATTGGATGGTTGGATGAAGGCGCTTTCCTGATTTTCTTGTTTGTGTTTCCATGGGTGGCATTGTGAAAAGTCATTGTGAAGCATTACTGCATCTTTGCAGATGGTCCTGCCAAATTTTTGTGAGCGATGTTCTGTGTACAAATCAAGTCAGTTCACCATGTATGAGAGTTGACTAGAACATTGAGCACAACAGGAGGCAGGATTCTGCTGGGTTCCAGGTTTATAACATGAAGATCTGGCATGGAGGCATTGTTGAAATTAGTGACTGATTTACACATGAGGTGCTGTTTGGAGAGCCTCTGCACCCCAGGAATGACTTCCATCAAACAATGAAATGGTGGCAAGAACAAGACTCTGATCGCCAGTGAGGTTTGAGGTGCCAGGTTAATGTTTGATAAGTAACCGTCTCGGTTCAGAGTAAACTGGCTTGGTGGTGAGAGGCTGGTCAGTCGGGCCAGAGTGCTGAAGGACTAATGAGTGACTGGACTGCACTTCTGTGATGTGAGGAGCAGCCAGGTCTCCTACCTCAGAAGAGCAAGAGGAAGCTTCTGTTAATTAAAGCTCTTTATCTCAGACAAAAGCCTGCTGACTAATTTGAGTTTTATTACACTCTATGTCCAACAGGGGGCAGATGTCTCCCTATGTGTTTCTTTTTACAGATTTTATGTTTATTTATTATTATTTTTATCTGCTGCCTGCTGTGTTCCCACATCTGTAGTTTTATACAGGGGGTCATAAAGGCTTCTCTCCATCTGATCTGCCGCTTCAGACCCACACAGCTGTGCTGTATAAAGGATCCTGGGAGCTATTCGTGGCTAATGAGGCATTGAGGGGTTCACACACCCCTTAATGTTCTGCTCCAGCTTGCTGTGTCTTGGAGATGCACTCACAAGTAAGAGAAAAGCGGCCAGAGATGTCTTCATTTTAAGGCTTGAGGACCAGGGCGTGACTTGAAGGGCAAGGGGAAAGCTTGGTGTGTGTGATCATCATGGCCACAGGATACCTGACGAGCCTCGTCATCGTTATGGCTGTCACAGCATTCCCTATCACCTGCCCAGTTCCTTGGAGGTTCTCTGTTTACCAGCACAGCTACCCGTGAGTGACGGACGCATTTCAAAGGACCAAATGCGAGGGCCGTCCACACGTCAGCTGTATGTGTGTGTGATCATCTCGCCGGCTTCATTCGTTTGTGCCCCTCCCATCTTGCGGGGGTGTTGACTCTCCTCCTGTTCTTCAGGCTCTATATATCACTGCCCCGTCTGCACTATTTATATTACATTTACATTTCTTCGCTGAATGGATAACTCTGTCAGACGTGACTTGCATAGTTTACCTCTTACCATTCTTTTTCCTATGCGGCAGGGTGTTTTAACTCTACTGGTCACATTGCCTGCTGACTGCAGGTATTGGGTCTCACCTTTGAAGGGTAGTTTTATTACATACACACACGCACAAAAAAAAAATAAATAAAATACGACAATGATTAAAATGCAAATTTTTCTCCTGTGGCAACAGGCAGAGTCAGTCTTCAGTGTAAGGCTGCCCTGCCATTTAATATAATCCCTTGAGCACACTACACACACCTCTTCTGGGGTAGTAGTAACGGGCCATGTTATTGTGAGCCGTCCAGGTTATTTGTGCTGTCTGGAGGTGTGTCCATAATGTCACCATGTGACCAATAGCAGCCCAGTGCAGATGTTCCCGGTTTCCCATCGCAGTGTCAACTGCTGCTTCACTGTCCCCATTAGGAACTGCTGCCTTTTGGCAGCCAATCTAGTTGCTAAACCATTATGCCACCTGCTGATCAGATATTGACACACAGTAACTGTTGTTCAGTTCCCAGAATAGTGGGTTTGTTCTCCAGCTGCATGTTGAGAAGCGACTACGGGAGGAAGCTTCCTGTTCCATCTTGAAGGACTTCTTGTTCCTCTTGTATTTCATGTTCATGAATTTTATTCATTAGCTTTGTAGCACTTGATCTCGTTCCAGCTGTCCTAACGATTATCAGGCAAGTGCTGAACTGGTATCATGGGATATTTGCTTCCCTCCCCCACCACTTTTGAGATTTACACTGAAACGGCTGCAGATGTGCAGCCTCGTGAAAGTGAGAGATTTTTTATTCCCCAAAGGCCCATAGTTCCACCTAAATACCACAAGATGGCAGCAGAAGCCTTTGATTAAGCCGCATGCAGTCAGTCAGTCAGGGAATTGATGGGGGCGGATCCCTTTGCTTCTTCCAGGATTTTAATGTCACATGGGCTTTATGTTTGAGAGTAGCTGCTCTGGGTGAAACACTGCATAGGGTTTAGATGTTTCTCTCCTCAACACTCGTGGCAAAGTTTAGGAACAGTAAAATCCTCAATCTGTTGCACATAGTACGTTCAGCTTTTATTTTCAAGTAAAGATACATTTAAAGAGCATTTTCAGCCACATTAAGCTATGAAGCTGCTGATATACAGTGTCATTTATTTAGTCTTTCAAGAAACTTTAGTGACTTTTAAAATTCTCATTGCATTGTTAAAAATTGCAGGGACATGCTGATAACGAGGACAAGGGGGGTTTACTTTTAAAATCCCCAAATTTGTCCATCTTGGGAAACAAATATGATTTATGGGTTATGGTGGCCTTTAAAAACCTGGGGGGTGCCCAACAAAGCAGAATTTTCCAGTTAGCTGGGTTAACTTAAGCAAGAAGTCGTGATCGTCTAACAATAGTTTAAGTAAGGAGCATTCCTATTGAGTAATCCTGACTTCTATCTTAAATTAAGTTAAGCTAATCTTGAAACCCTGCTTTGTGGAACACTCCTCCTCCCCCCGAAGGCTTGGGACTGTTGGCCATGAAAACTCTGATTTTTTAATCGCAGCTATTCCCTCACTGGTTGTTGTAGGTGTTGGAGTCCGTGTCACCCAGTCCACACGTTAAGACCAGCCGATATGGCTGTAATCGAATCGAGCCGCTTGTCATCTGCATTAGCTCAGCATGCAAACACATGCTTGGGTTAATTTTTATGGTAAATTCGCACACCATTTGCCCAAATCAAAATTCCCTTTTATCAAGGAAGTTAACATCAGACTATCCTTGTCTAGGTGCTTGGTGAGGGATTTTGTGGTCACTGTTTCATAAGCAGTGTTTGGCAAACATTTTGGCTTATTTTTCCTTGAAGAGGGATGAAGGCAAATTATTTATCAGAGGACATTGGAGTGAGACCTTGTGTTTACTGAGTGCCGCAGGCCACATGCTCCCTGGATGATGATTATTATTTTTTTTTTTGGCCTGCAAATCAAATATTTGATGTGTCCTGTCAAATTCCTCATTCTGCTTATGCACAAAAGGTGCAGTGTTGCCTCTGGAAGAAAAAGCCCACAGGGGCACCTTCTATTAAAGCAGAATGATTTTATTTCCTCTCTACAAACACGTTAGCCTTTGTGTAACCTCACAGGCTGTGCATGTTCTTCCGTTTACCATGACTCTACAGATGGCCCCCTGAAACGGCGAGTGCCCTAAACTTTGTGTGACCGCTGTATTCTGTGTCTTCTCTTTCCACCCTGCCCCCCTCCCTCTCCTGGTCTGTCCCAAGGACGTCCTGAACAATCTGGGCTCCTCAGAACTGGATGAGGATGACCTGATGCTGGACCTGGACCTGTCGGACGATCAGCGGCAGCACCGTGGTAGGTCATGTCTCCGTGACGAGCCAGATGTCCGTGAGATCCAGGCCATGCTGGTTTTAGGAGGGGGATCAGATGATATGAGGATCAGCTGGCCCACTCAGGGTCTCCTTCCGATTTTAAACCCAGTCACTGTGACGTCCCTCCCTCCCTCTCCTCTTGAGACGTGGTAATTACAACCGGCTGGCTTTGATTCTTTGTGGCAGGTATGACTCGGTGGGCCAGATGAGTGTTATTATTAGAAGATTGTGGGTCTTCGAGAGTTCGGCTCACTTTTGAAATGCCACACGGCGATTTGCCTGTGCGACCCATGCATGTTTGATGAAGCTGCTCCCGGCCACACGCATGTGGGCCTTCCCGTCGGTCACCGGTAACAGTGGCAGCTGTCTTGGGCTTAATTAGATAAGGTCTGACTTTTCTGTGTGAGATCCTTGGTGATGAATTTAAAGAGATATATGCATGTAAACGGCACGGTCTAATTACAACAGGAAGGCGAGGATGGCTCCCAGGGTGCTCAGTCGTCTGTCGCCTCGATTAGAGCTCATGATGGTTATTCATTGGCTGTGGGCGGGAATTGCGGGGAGGGCATGTGCCCCCCAGCGCCCTCCTGTGTGTTTGGAGCTCCGATTAGGCTGCAGATTTTTTTTTCACTGTGTGTGTGTGTGCGTGTGTGCATGTGTGGTTTTATCCCATGTGATAGAAACCTTCCTGTTCACACCTCCCACAAAACAAACAAAACCATCTAATCACCCCCTGGGGTAGTAACATCACTGCACTATATTAGTGGGGATGTTTGGGGTGAACAGTACTCCCTTGCATGTGTATGTGTGTGTGTGTATAACATTTTTCATAATACATATTTTTTTCCTGCTTGGAAATGGATTGGTTCTTTAGATCCAGTCGGTGAGGAATTTCAGCTATGTGTCCCTGTTTATTTTGATTTGGGAACATGATACAGCTTGGATATCTGTATGTCTGTTGATCGTGAAGTCCGGCAGGAAGCACTACTGTGTTCATTTACAGATAAACACTCCTAAAACATAATCATCTCCAAAATAACTGCCTTAGTTCACAAATGATCGTTGTTGTTGTTGTTATTATTCCTCACAAAAACAAACCGGTTGTGACCCAGTATTTTACCGTTTGCAGTTAGTCTGTGTGTCAAGCTGTATACTTGGGGTATTTCTGCATAGGAATTGTTGAAGATCATGAGTGCTTAACACTGTGCAAAAACTCACATCACTGAGCAGAGTTCCTGCCAGAGGATTCATGCCCCAGGCACTAACATCATTGATGCATTTATAGCTGTTGTGTATCAATCACTGCTTCTGATACGACTGGTGTCAGCAGAACCACACTTGCTCAGGTGGCACTGGATCTTCATGGTGACTGGTTTTTAGCACACGAGGTCTCCCTCAGTTTGTGCCGTGTTCTTCGGTGTGTGATTCTTATGTCATTAAAATTCATTCAGACGGAGCTAGCCTCCCTCTCGCTCTTACTGGCTGATAGATCCCAATGGCACCCTTAACCTGAATATGTACATCTGTTTGGTAGGACTTGACACTAAGTAATTTACTGCTCTGAATTGTTGTAGGTCCAAACCTTAAATGGGCATGTGTGTCAGTCTGTGAAGGAATATGATTATTGGGTTCAAGGTATACAGCCCAATTTGGATCTGTTGTTTTACCATTGAAATGTGTTTATGCCTAAGGGGTTAGACACACAGATGTGTAATTTTAGTGGGGCGGAGGTTTAGGGTTAGTCACCTACCTGTGTCGCCTTAGTATAGTGAAAGTTTTGGATTGTTCACCCAGCAGTCTCATCTGAGTAGAGTGTAGGCTTAGGGTTAGTTGCCTACCTGTGTTGTCTGAGTAGAGCAGAGGTTTAGTGCCTTGAACTTATTTTTTTATTCATCTTAGTCACTCTGGGAAACAGCAGCTTACAAAACTTACTGCATTAAAACCACAGCCTTTAACCACTGCACCCCCTGCTGTTGTGAAGAATGTGAGCACTCTGACCACATGCTGGCCTGTTGTTCCCCTTCCAGTGTCCCGGGAGGACTCCAGCCAATCCTTGGCTTCATGTCTGGCCCTCTTGCACTCTCCCATGGAACCAACGACAGACAAGGTCCTTGGGAAGGAGGCCAAAGGGGTGGAATCTCTTTACAGGTAAACCCCCCCTTACCCCTCTTTTTCCCTTTTCTCAAAAGCACTGTTGTGAATATCTTTATTTTTGGAGTGTTATACAAATGCTTTTATGTAGTACAAGTGACAGGGACACAGTGAGTCTGAACTATGACCTGCTAGCAGAGTTTTTGAATGTGTAAAAGTGGGAAAGGTTCTTCTGAGAGCAGATGCGTCTCATGTCCTCTGCCTGTTTTTTTTATTATTATTTTGCTCTCTCATGTTGCTGAGGTGATGTTTGAAGGTGGTGTTTATATTTGCCCAATCACATTCAGCCTGTTGTGCTTTTGAGCTCAGTTTTCCATGTAGAGGGAATTCTCGTGTATTTCATCTGAAGCTCTGTGCAGGCATATAGTTTTGAAACTGTGCCCTGTAATCGTGCTGCTTTTGATAGAACGTTTCTCTAGAGACAGTAATTATGTGTTTCTTACTCACAAAATGAGTGCAGTCGGCACATATTCTGATCTATTCAGCTAGATCGTGAACATGCGAATGCAGAGATCTTTTTCTCAGCAGTTCATTAGACACCCCGACAAAGGAATTAAAAGAACACTATTTCCCGTCTGTCTCTGATTTTGCCTGGCATAGGAATCAATCTAGGTGCTTGTTTTAGACGGAGGACGCCTTTAGCTTGCGGCTACAATTCCAGACTGCAAGGTAGTCACTTGGCTTAATATTGGCAGTCTGAATACTGGGACTGTAGTTGACCAGCCATCTGTTTTGTAGCCACTTTCATTAGGTGAGGTCCCCAGGTTTTAGAACTTGCCCTGTTAAATGGTAAGGTTGACCTTCTAAAGTGATGTATCACTAGTGCTGGGAGTCTATTCCAAAAAGAATCAACTACTTGACTCCAGGCAGCTAGGAACTGAGAGTCAACCCCAAAGCATTTGAGTTGACTCGAGTTCAGTTAATTCTAAAGTTTTCTGTGCACCTGTCAAAAAAAAATGAAATCCTGTAGATGTGAATGGAGGCTGCTGCGAATGTTGTGTGTCAATGACCGCCTCGATTAGTCACTATGGTTCTTGATCGTCGTTTACATCAGTGTATGTCAAAAGTACAAATGAATAAAGAACTCATTCATTATGTGATTATAAGAGTGATGTGTTAGAAGTAAGTTAATTTGGATTTGGCTGTCATTTAGAAATGCCATCATTAATGTAAAATTCAATAGTTTGGCAATATTTTGCTTCAAACTAGGCAGCAAATAAAGTTAAATGCAGTATTTATAATAAATTGCTGGCATTTAATAAAACAACATCACCTGTGATAAAACATTTGAAGTCTACTCATCCCAAGGAGCTGACAGAGGAAAATCAGGTACAGGTTTTGCCCTCATTAACAAGCTAAATTAGTCAGCTCTCAAAATTACTGTACTTTGCTTAATAAGCTATCAAATTAACAAATAAATTAAACAGACATTGGAGTATGAGTGTATGCGTTGTAATATATCAGTGAGAAAACAAACCCTATTAATGAAATAGCTAGCTACCCATTCATTTTATTTTTGTACAAAGTGTGCAAACAAGACATAATTGATAAGGTACACTGTTATGTATATAGTTTTAAAAGGTGTACTTGCCAGCAAAGGATTAAGTTAATAAAATTAATTGTAAAGTAACAAGATGCCTTGTCATTTATAATACTGTCTTGTTCTTTTAACAAGACCTGTTTCCTCCCATATTTTGGAATTGAGAATCGGGAAAACTTGTCTGGAATAGACTCTTGGAATCGATTCCATCGATTCTCAACTGCTGTAATCGCAATCAACTACAAAATTTGTAGAGTCGAACACCCCCACGCAGATTTCTCTTCACTTAAAGTAGTGCTTTTGGGTAATTCGGTGGCTCTGCAATCCCGCCTTTTTCCGCGAATGTGGCACGAGACCCCGAGCGCGCGCTTCCGCTCGTGTAGTAGAGAGGCACCCCCGGGGATCGCGAGACGACGTGAAATGTTTCAACGGGGTTCGAGGTTCACAAGTCACTATACGCTGTTAATATTAACGACTTCCTTAAACGTCGTTTGTTTATTTATATATGTAAAAAAAAAAATTCGCTTCTGCCTAAGTGAACGTGGAAAAACGTGGTTGATTAGATAATATTAATTCTGCATATAAGCACTCGTAGCAAACAGCTGTCGCAGTAGAAAAACGCGCTTTTAAGTTGTGCCGTGTATCTTTTGATGATTCTTGTCTTCATCTTCTCCCCCACTTTCTTCAAATCTCCAAAGTTCAGAGTTTTTACCCATTAGATTTCTGTAGACTTCGGACGCCATAAATAATGAAAAGTCCGCCCCTTGTGCGTGCTACCCCCCCCCCATGCCTAGCCGTTTACTGTTTATTGCATAAAAGGACGCTCAGCACTTTGCTGACGGCGGACTGCCTGTGTCGGTCAGGCCTAATCAGCCATGAGCCAGGCGAGTCTTACTGATGTTGTTTTAAAAGACATTGCGTCTCCATTGAGGCGTTATCTGAAATACTTGCCGAGGTCTAATGTACTGTAGCTCTGATTTCTCGACAGCATGTTGCTTTTAGAGGCAAATCCTACTTAATTGTTTTCTGGTAATAGAAAAACAACAAATGAGGTGTTTGTTTGTTGGCTTCGTCGAGCCAGGGAGTGCAGGCTTAAAGGGGGTCTCCTTCGGCTGGTGCTTTACTCCAGCCCCGCGACGACACGGCCCCCCGATTGCCCACGATTTATTCGTCTTTATTATTGCTCCAGCTGAGGTTGTCAAGGTAGTTGAAATTAATTTTGCTATGTGTAATTATTGTTGGGGTTTGCGTTTTCGGGAAAATGCGGAGCTTTATGCTGCGAGCAGAACTAATGGTTTTCTGTCCACGTTCTTAAGTAATGAGACCCATTATGCAGAAGGTAATTGGCTTTTTTTCCCCCTCAAGTTAAGTTTACTTCGCTTGTGGTGTTTTGCGTGGAAAAATGCTGCAAGTCACCTGGAGAACCCAGAGTGACGTGTGACCACGTTTCCGCTGTTATAGTTTAAGTGGCGATCTTGTTAACTCACTGGTGACAGGCGCGGTCTCGCGACATGCATTCACTGTTTTTGCAGAATATGGAAGCAGATTCATCAAGTTTGCAGAGCCAATTAAAATAAAAGAAAAGTACATGTCCCGCGCGTTTGTAAAATGTTACAAACTTTCATGCGATTGTAAAGGTGATTTTCCGGTGGTTTGCCTTATGCTCTTGAAGAGAGCAGAAGACCTGGCATCATGTTTAATGTTGCTGCATGCTACATACGAAATCAACATAGTTTTAGCAATCAATTTAGTAACTGGTTCAGCAAAACCATGTATTTTCGATGGGGGCTCCTTTATTGAAGCCTCGCTTCCCGTGTGTCTCCCTCTGCTGAGTGGGCACTTCACTGCAAATCCGACCTTCACCCAAGACGACTGACTGCCAGGTTACTGGAACATCCTCCCCTTATTTTAATTTGCCTGAATGTGTCAAAAATGTCCAGAAGTGACTGCGTAAAGCAGTGAGTTTTGTATGGGTTTAACAGCAGGGTGTTTACTCAAGCGGTTCAGTTTAGGGATGGTCACAAAATGGGATTAATATGGGATTAACATGGTTGTTTGCATGCTCTAGACCCAAAAAAGTACGGCCCACCATTGCTTTCATCACCTCTTGGGATCAGAATAGCGTTTCCCAGGTTTTTGGCTTCCTGAGGGAGCCTCAGCACAGGGTGAGTCTTTTTTTCCCCGTATCCCCTTTGTTTTGTTTTATATTGAATTCTGCCTGCTTGACTTCTGCCTGGGTGAGTTTGGTGACATTCAGTGGAAGCCAACCCATGCATTTAAGTTGTTAATTTACGGATTTCAGTGTCTTGGGGCATAAAATGCTTTTAAAGGGCAGCCCAGGTCTGTTCTGTCGTTTAATTAGGAACATCCACGTGGCGTGTGGGTTGTTTGGGGGGGGGGGGGGAGAATGGTTGATCGTGTGGGAGGCGCATCTGGTTAAAATAATAGTGCGGAGGGCACTCTCAGCTGGACCCAAACATGCCTTCAGATTGTGTTCATTGCAAACAAAATGCGCTGCAGGTGGTGAACAGGTGCATGTGAGGCAGAAACGGACTAATTGAATTTTAATTCCCATCTGACTGTGGTCACTGCATGCACCGGGAATGCGTGAGCATGGTGTGCAGGCAGGGCGTACTCAATTATATCAGTCGTGTGTGTGTGTGTGTGTGTGGCTGCACGAGTATGATTTATATGATCTGAGGTGTTATCAGCCTGTGTCAGGTGTGCATACCTGGCCTTTTCTTTTTCTTGGAGGGAGGGCAAGTGTATTTTCACCTTTTGTAATTTAAACGTGGATGAGTGTTTTGCCTCACATTATAGCAGTAATTTCACTTGACTAATCATTTTTTTTATTTATGCAACTTCTGAAACGTCTGAAAATTACTGGTGGAAAAGATTTGATTTAATTCTTCTGGGCAAATTGTCAGTCCAGCTCAGTCGTTGACTTGATTGTGCTGCTGTTCCCCGTGGTCTCCACCATTGAAGCTGCCCGAACCACAGTTGAGAGCCTCTCCAAAGATCAACTTTCCACTAAAGTCGTCAGCAGTATTTTTGAGGTTTTAAGAGCAGGGAGGCATTTGCTGATAAGTGCAGTTTGACTGGGGTTTTGTTAATACCTCCTGATGTGCCGTTATTTCCTCTGGCCTTTTTTGCCTGTGTATTGCCCCAGCCATGGCCTTTTGGGTTCTTCGCAGCTCAGGTGAGCCAGAACTTGACCACTTCCCTACTGCTAACAGCAAAACTGCAATTCACATATGCATTATACTGCTGTTACCCACTGTGACCCTTTGAATCCATTTAGCACTATGGCCAGTTTATAAATGTGAAGAATCAGCAGTGTCTGAAGCATTTACACAGAGAAATGTTGTCTTCATATGCTAAAATGTGGTATAGCTCTTCTCTATTCATATTACCATATATATTTGTGTTGAAGTTCAGGAACAAAGCTGAAATAAGC